GGCTTACGAGAGGGTGAAGGAACACTGTGGTTACGTGCGGATGAACGGTCACCGTGGGTGCGTGTGTACCGCGGTGAGTGGCTGGCGGGGAAGCGTGACGGCTTTGGTACTTCATGGGAAGAAAATGGTGACGTGTACGAGGGTGAATGGGTAGATGATCAGCGCAGTGGTTTCGGCAAACTCTTCCTAGCCAATGGTGATATCCTTAAAGGGGAGTTTCGCAACGGCCTCTGTGATGGTCGGGCGCTGCTGCTACTGACAAATGGCGACTGGCACGATGGCTACTGGGCAGCAGGGCTGCGGGAGGGTCCTGGTCTTTGGTGCTACGTACAGCGACAACAGTGTCTTCAGGGTGATTGGTCTAAAGGTGTATGCAAGTGTGGCAAGATGTACGATATGCCAGACAAGACGACCAGTGAAAACAGTCGTTTTATCCCGCGACTAGGGCTTTTGCGCGAGGATGAAGTTCTGGAGTTGGAACGGCGAAAGCTTTACGATAGTCGTGTGCAAGAATTTTCGGCGCTGGGCCGTGATTGGGTCGAACCTGTTATTACCACACCTCTCGGTACTACTGTTTCAAGCCTGGATGATGAGGGGAGGCATGTCATCGACGAGGCTGGACATGGGATGGATGTGATGGGGCAGCAAATTGCGGAGGTGTGGGGGTTGGATGTAGAGTAGTGGCTATGTGCGCTTCTTGCCGCGCCATGTACACATTATTAGATTGCTCATGGAACAATGCTCTTGTCCCTTTCTGGTGAAGGTCTGTTGGAGGTCGTGACATTTTTTTTTTTAATATCCTTTTTTTCTTGGTTTACCTGGAAGTTTTTTTTTATAATAGTTTTAAATTTCTCTCTTTAAGAGAGTTCGGGTGTGAAAAACGCGTCAAAAGCTTTAGTGACACCGTGCAGGATGAGAATGACTAGCATGAGTCCTACGCAACGGGAGTCACCTTTGAAGCAGTCGCGGCAGCAGAACTCTGCCTCGCTAAGCCGCCGCCTCGTTGAGGATTACCACCGCTCCGTTGCGTATTCCATCGGCGAGCTGCCATCGCACCGCACATTCTCCGACCGCTACGGAAATCTAAAGGGGGCCCCCGTCGCCACGCGCCGTGACGGGTCTCCAAAGGGAGTGACCGCTGCCGCTGCAGCGGCAGCAGCAGCATCAGGCACTGCATCTGACCCTCTGCAGTGGTATTTTGACCGCGCAGACACAGAGGAGGCCGCTGGGAAACTGCGTGACGCGCAAAAGTTTCTGCAGGCGGCTCTTGAACAACTGCAGCGCTCTGAAAGCAGTCCTACAGGATCTACGATGAATACTATGAGCAGTTCGGAGAAGAAGGCGGAGCAAGACCGAGTGCGGGCGGCTGCCATCCTGATACGCCTCGGTAAGTTGTCGATGCGACAGAATGAACACCAGGAAGCCCTCGATTTTTTTACGCTCAGTAGCCATATCGACCCGCTTGCCACGGACACGTATGCACTGCGGGGAGCTTGTCATGAGTATCTCGAAAATCACGCCGCGGCCTACAAGGAGTATGAGAAGTACCTCAGCCTAAGCCCACCTACAATGGCTGTCCTAGCGCACACAAGTCAATGTGCGCTAAAGGCTGACCGGTATGAAGCGGCGGAGCGACACCTTCACGATTTACTTCTGCTGACAAAAGGGGCGTCTGCTTCCGTTTCGTTGTCTCCTAGTAGCCATTCAAATCGTTTTGATTCTCCGAGCTTCTACGAGGCTCACGCGTACTACTGCCTAGGACTTGTAAAAGATAAACAAGCAGCAGCCATCTCTGAGACTTCAGTGAGGTTTTCAAAAGCTGAAGAGTTGATGCATGAGGCGCGCACTTTGTATGAACGGGCAGCTTCAAACTCGGCGTACGTGTGCGCTCACGAGGATGCTGCCGAGAGTGCTATGGCAGTGCAGGATGCGTCACTGGCGTTAGAGAACCTGCGGCACCTCCAGCATTTGCGTAAGAGCTGCGCGCAGTACTACTCCCGTGCGGCGGATGTGTATGCAATGATTAACGACACTTCATCGGAGGTGGAGGAGCTTTCCAAAGCGCTTGACCAGCGGCAATCCGTGTTGGAGCGTCGGCAAACACTTCTCCGCCGTGCTGCTGTGTATGCGATAAAGCTGCAGAATCTTGACAATGCTATTGTGGACTTATCACTCTTGTTGAGTCTACCGGGGGATGACCACTGCACGGCGATGGCATACCTGCAGCGTGCCAGGGCTTTCCAACAGCGCAGCTACGAGCGCTCACAGAGTTCGCGTGAGGACGTTGCCGCTGCCCTGCGCGACTATGACGATTTTGTGGAGGCCGCGTTGAGGCGCCCAGAAGAGCTGCCGGCTCCACCGGAATGCATTACCGAGGCAATGCTCATCCTCGCCAATGGGGCATTTGAGGAGAAGAACTATGGTCGCGCAGCCCACTTCTTTGCGCGGGCTGTTGCGCGTGGGTGGCAGCCCAAGGAGCCTCTTCCGCAAGCGCGCCGTCAGCCCAAGAAAGCCTCCAAAGCGTCGCCTTGTTCTTTGTACATGCAACAAACAGAGATGAATCTTCTTGCGAAGATGTACGTGGCGATCGCCCACACTGTGATTGACCACTTCCCTATTGTTGATGAGATGTTCAAGGTGCCGTACGAGCAGCGCGAGAAACCGTTTCTTCCGGTTGTGCCCGAGTCAAAGAAGTCCAAAGCTGCTGAACGGAAGGAGGCGGAGAAGCCATTGGTAGCGGTCCCTGTGGTGGGCTACCAAGTGGTAGAGGAGCAATACCAGCGGCTGCGCGCTCTAGAGCCAACCGTCTTCTCATCTCTGCAGTATGAACTCCTAGAGCTATGGGAGCCGTATCGGACGGAGGTGGAGCGAATGCGGGAGGACCTGATGCTTACACGGAGTGGGAAAAAAGTCAAGCGGCGGTGAGACTTCCGCAAGGTCGTTTCTCAGTGTGGTTTTGCGTGTCTATGTTTGTACCTATGTGTGTGTTTGTGGGTTCGTGTTCATGTCATGTATAGCGAGCAACAACAAACAGACAGTTGTAGAAGAGAGAGGGAGAGAGAGAAGGGAGCTGCTGAGAGTAAAGAAGCACATAGCCATCTGAAGTTTGAGGTGACACCCTTCACCACATCTTAGTTCCTCTTTGTTATTTTCTCATTTCTGTTTCTATTCAGCCCAAGGGGCTAATCAAAGAAACAAGGGAGGAAAAGGAATCATATGTTTCCCTATTCGCCTATTTCTTCAGGTGTGGCCGTGGAGAAGGAGCGTGACGTCCGCAGGCGTCTCGTAAGCTTCTACGAGAAACACAATCCTCGGCAGCTGGGTCATATCGATACCATATTGTTCGCGTACAAGGATCATTGGGATGACCTGTTCGCCGCGCTGGCGGTGAAGTACGAGGGTACGGGGACTCAACCGGCCGTATTGTCCGCCTTCCAGTTCACCACCAACGACGGCTCATACTGGGACACCTGCTACCGCGAGACGAGTGACTCTAATCGTTTGGTTTCATCCTTCACACTTCTCGACCCCGTGGAGGTTGTGCAAGGGCGGCGACGGCGACGCGACGGGTGCAGAGAAAATGACCCACAGTGCAACTCAACAGCTGCACGCTGTAGAGGAGGAAACAACGGAATTGCTCCGCTCGCTTTGCCAAGGCGTTCACGCACTATTGACGAGGAGGAACGAGACACCCGAAGACTAAAACTTCAGCAGTTAGTCATGCACTTTGCACCAAATAGAGTGCTCGACATGGAAGAGATAATGGCTCAATACCGTGAGGCCTATAAGGCTAAGGTGCGTCGCCGTGACCGAAGTGACAATTCCGTTACTGAGGCCGAGTGGCAAGATGTGATGATATGTGATTTTTTGCATGAGTTTGATAAGAGTAAAAATGGCACCACTGACTCTGGTGCCATGGTACGCCCCGACAGTGAGGAACATGCGCCGAAGACGTACTTTCCTTTTTCCGGAGGTGATGCGATAGGGGTGGCAGAGTCTCCGTTTGATCGACAACAAATGCAGACCATAAATGCTGTTGTGTCAGAAACGCCATTGGGGATGAAGATGATGATGCCTTCGCCACTTCAACCTCGAAAAAGTGCCCTATATGATGATGACAGCGGGATACATTCTCATTTGAAGCCGCTAATGGACGACGAGTGGTGTGCACCACTCGGGGACGAGTCCATTTGTGAGGCTGCAGAAAGGCCCTGGACACCCGTATCAAATATGACCACTGATGCCCATGATGGTGGTGATGCTCCGGAGCCCCAACCGTTGTCGCGGACACCCGGAGGTGTGGACAGTGCCCCAGAAGAAAGGACGGATGCCACTTCAAAGCCATTTGTCGTTCTCCGCCGTCAGGCTTTTTCGAAACCATTCTTCGTTCCATTTTTGCAGACGCACGGGGAACAGCGGGCGGAGAGGTTCCTGGCACATTTGTCAGTAAAACGTGCGATGGATTGTCCGTACTTCCACTATCGTTTGTTTCTCTTGTTGTGCAGCGCGTTGAGGCGTGTGGAGGGCGGCGGCATCATGGGATCCACTGGTGTTGACGTGTTGGCCAGGAGGGAGTCGACGATACCGTATTGGGAGCCGTCTCTGCGGTGCTGCGTTCTCTGGAGGACCGCATCGCCGCGAACGGGACAAGCATCATTTCTGATGGACGAAGATGTCGCTGACGCATTGCCGCGCGACCTGGTGGAGAAACTTCATGTCACGTGGACGATCTGCCGAGCATGCGGCCTTGAGTCCCTGTGGTGTAACGAAGTGACGCTTGCAGATGTGGTGGCGCTTCGCATGCGGTACTTTGCGCGTCGCCAAGACGTGGTTAAGAGAATCTTGCTTCGTCCATTTACTGCTGTGTTTAACTTCGCTGTGCGCGTGGACGACGACTCTGACTGGGGCGGTCGCCAGTGCCGCAGAGACGATGACTTTGAGTTTTTGTGTTTTATCGGGACTGTAGCTGAGCTTAACCAGACATTTTACGATTATAATGAAGAGCGTTGGATTGAATTTATTCAACTTTGGTATAGTGAACACAATCTGCATTTGGAGATGGCTGCGCTTGAAGTAGAGTTGTCCAGTCAAACCGAGTTGAGTGATGTAGTTGGTCCTCATTTCGAAGAGGTGCGGGTGCAGAATGCGGAGCAAAAAGAAGGTTGTTCGAAAACAGGTGTTGTATCAACCAAAAAGCGTCTGCCCCTGGGGGCGGATGCGTTGCTAACGTGTACCGCGATGCTCTGTGTGCACATGGACCAGCCCTTTTCCGGCGTCACATATCTGGACGTTGCCGCGACTCACTACTGCCTCTGCGTCGCCGCCATTTCGGCAAAAGAGGACTGTGAGCGGCGCGGCGTCATAGAGGCATGGCGTAAGGTACATATCGAGCTGCAGTACCTTGCTGGACAAAGTTCTATGCAGGTTTCCCTGCAAGATCGAGAGAGCTGTCAGCGTGAGGCATTGGAGATGCAGGAGTCCTCCATGTGGATGAAACTCATTCAATCTTTCGTTCCAGTAGAAACGGTGAAGGGTGGTGGATTCTGTAAGCCAGTTGGATCTCCATCCTCGCTCCTGCTTTATCTCGGCAACCATCCTGAGCCACTCGTTTTTCTCAATAGCCAAGGTGAACGGAGGTCCGTGGTGAATGCCTCGAAACCGCTGCTTGTCCCACACTGGCGTCGCGGAGTTGCCCAGCGACGCCTGGCGGCTTTCTTTGAGCGTGAGGCTGAACGCCAACGTCACCTCAAAGAGCGTCTGCAGGTTGAGCAGATTGCGAGCATGCTCCGGGTGGGAAAACTTTCGCTCTGATGAAGAGGAGGTTTGTCCTTTTTTTTGTATTTTTTTTTGCTTGTCCATTCTTACATTGTACACTGTGGGGCTTGACTCTTTACGCCACCCTCACGCCTCGCGCAAATTGGGGATGAGGTTGGGATT